CTCGCGGGCGGGCGGCAAGCAGTCGAGCTGCAGGGACGGCTACAGTTCTGATTAAGTTGGCATTCGATATCCTATCGAAGACCCAAGGGAAACCTACGGCAAACAGTAAGGAACACAGCTCCTCCCAAACGAGAAGGGTTCCTTCTTCAGCACCCCGACTGTATGCTCGCGAGGACGAGGAGGAGTCGCGAGCCGCGAGCCGCGAGGCACGTCGCTCCCTCTTGGCGGCCCTTGCAGCCACTGTAACCTCGGGACCCCAAAACCGCGGGGTGACGGTCCGCGCAGTGACCGCGGAGCCCCCGACGAGCTCAACGCATGGTCCGTCACCGGACAATCTCGGGGCCCTGGAGGCCCCAAGACGCCCAAGAAGTCCTCGAAGGTCGGGCCAAGTCCCAAAACCGTACGGCGAGCCCGAGCCCCCACTGATTCACCACACGGTGTGGTCATCGCACCGCTTCGGGGCCTCCGACTAGCATCAGGAACGCTTCATGAGGAACGAAGTCCCGTTGGCCCTAAGAGCGCCTAGGTGCACGAGGGGCGCCACAGGAGCACCCATGCAAGAACCGAAGGAACAGCGAGCCCCTTTCCGAACCTGGGCCATTCCTTGTTATAATTGTTATGACGTGTGCGTACATATGTATATATATATATATACACATGGGTCCTGGCCTATTCGCGCAGCCCCTGCAAACAAACAAAAAAAAACGCGACCGAGGACCCCCGCATACTTAATGTATGAACTCTGTGTGCCATATGTGATGTGACTACTACTACTACTACTACTACTACTACTACTACTACTACTACTACTACTACTACTACTACTTTCACTACTACTACTACTACTACTACTACTACTACTACTACTACTACTACTACTACTACTACTACTACTACTACTTTCACTACTACTACTACTACTACTACTACTACTACTACTACTACTACTACTACTACTATTACTACTACTACTACTACTACGACTACTACTACTACTACTACTACGACTACTACTACTACTACTATTACTACTACTTCTTCTGCTACTACTACTACTACTACTACTACTAATACTACTGCTACTACTACTACTACTACTACTACTACTACTACTACTACTACTACTACTACTACTACTACGATTTGGACTACGACTCCGACTGCTACAATTAATCATAATAATATGAATCATCCGCCGGCCCCCTTGCGGGGCCACCAGGCTGTAGGCCGGGAGTGTGCTGTTCCCTGTACCAGTTGCAGCTTCCAGTTTGCACTGCTACAGTTCTGCTTCTTGCTGCTTACTGTTCCTTGTTGATGAACGCGCGAGGGGGGGGGGGAGCCCATAACAGCAGAACTGGCAAGCCCTGGGAGGGTTCTTTCTGGGGTGGTAAAAAAAATTGACACCCCTCACGCAGATCGGCTGGGTCAGGGTCCAAAAACACATGGGATGTGCCACATGTTTGAACTTCAGTGGCACCCCTCACGCAGATCGGCGGGGTCAGGGTCAAAAAACACAACGGATTTGCCTCATTTCTGAAATTTGGTAGCACCCCTCACGCAGATTGGCGGGGTCAGGATCCAAAAACACAGAGGATGCGCCACAATTCTAAAGTTCGGCGGCACCCCTCACGCAAATCGGCGGGGTCAGGGTCCAAAAACCCAACGGATTTGCAACATTTCAAAATCCGGTGGCACCCCTCACGCAGATCGGCAGGGTCAGGGTCCGAAAACACACTGGATGTTGCCTCATTTCTCAAATTCGGTATCACCCCTCACGCAGATCGGCGGGGTGAGAGTCCAAAAACACAACAGATGCCTCATATTTTTCAAATTCGGTGACACCCCTCACACAAATCGGCGGGGCCAGGGTCCAAAAAACACAAGGGACGCGCCACATTTCTGAGATTCGGTGGCACCCCTGATGCAGATCGGCGGGGTCAGGGTCCAAAAACACAGGGGATGTATTATATTTCTCAAATTCGGTGGCACCCCTCACGCAAATCGGAGGGGCCAGGGCCCAAAAACACAATGGATTTGCCACATTCCTGAAATCCGGTGGCACCCCTCACGCGAATCGGAGGGGCCAGGGGCGAAAAACAAACAGGTCCCGACACTGCTTCACGGCGGCGCCCAGACCTCATGATTTAGCTTTTGCATCTCCCATTATCCGAGACAGGGGGCCGGCGCCATGGGGCGAAGCCCTTACGGACAATACGACGATTACTACGACTGCTACAACGACTACTGCTACTACTACTACTACTACTACCACTACTACTACTACTACTACTACTACTACTACTACTACTACTACTACTACTACTACGACTACTACTACTACTACTACTATACTACTACTTACTATACTACTTACAACTACAACACAACACTCACTACTACTAATTACTACTACTAATACTACTACTATACTTACTTACTACTATACTATACTACTTACTACGAATAATTAATAGTACTACGACGACTACTACGATTACGACTACGACTACGACCGACGACTACTACTACTACTACTACTACTACTACTACTACGACTACTACTACTACTACTACTACTACTACTACTACTACTACTACTACTACGACTACGCCGACTACTACGACTACAAACGACCACTACCTCTACTACTACGACTACGACGACTACGACGACTACTACTGCTACTACTACTACTACTACTACTACTACTACTACTACTACTACTAGTACTACTACGACTACTACTACTACTACTACTACTACTACTACTACTACTACTACTATCCCTACTACGGCGACTACCACGACTATTACACAACTACGACGTCTATCACGACAGCTACGAATACGACTACTACTACTACTACTACTACTACTACTATTACTACTACTACTACTACTACTACTACTGCTGCTGCTGCTACCACTACATCTACTACTACGACTGGTGCGACGATTACTTCGACTACTACTCCTACGACTACTACGACTACGACTACCACTACTACTACTACTTCTACTACTACTACTACGACTACGACTACTACTACTACTACTACTACTACTACTACTACTACTACTACTGCTACTGCTACTACGACTACTAAAATTACCATCGCTACTACTGGAACAACTACTACTACTACTACTACTACTACTACTACTACTACGACTACTACGACTACTATCACTACTACGACTACTATTACTACTCTACTACTACGACGACTACTACTTACTACTACTACTACTCTACTACTTACTACTGTCTACTGTCTACACTACTAACCCCTACTACGACTACTACTACTACTACTACTATACTACTACTAATACGACTACAAATACTACTACTACTACTACTACGACTACTACTACTTAACTACTACAACGACTACTTACTACTACACTACTACTACGACTCAATTACTACTACTACGACTACGGACTACGATTACTGATACTTACTAACTACTTACTACTACTACTACTACTACGACTTACTACTACTACTACTACTACTACTTACTACCACTACTGCTGCTACTACTACTACTACTATGACTACTAGTACTACTACTACTACTACTACTACTACTACTACTACTACTACTACTACTACTGCTACTGCGTTGATTACTCCTACTACTACGACAACAACAACTGCTACTACTCTGACCATCACTGGTATTACACTCACTACTATGAAACATGATACTACGACTACGACTACATCTACGACGACGACTACTACGACTATCACTACTACTATTATTACTACGGCTACTACTACAACTCCTACCACAACTACTACAACTACTACTACTTCTACTACTACTACTACCACTACTACCACTACTACCACTACTACCACAACTACTGAAACTGCTAAAAACTACGATTACTAGTATGACTACAACTACTACTTCTACGACTACGGCTACGACTACAACTACTACTACTACTACTACTACTACTACTACTACTACTATGACTACTACCACTACTTCTACTACGACTACTACTACTACTACTACTACTACTACTATTACTACTACTACGACTACTACTACTACTACTACTACTACTACTACTACTACTATTACTACTACTACTACTACTACTACTACGACTACTACTACGACTACTGCTACTACTACCACGGGTACTACTATCCCTACTACTACTACGGCTACTACTACTAATACCACTACTACTACTACTACTACTACCACCACTACGGCTACCACTACTTCTACAACTACTACTACTACTGCTACTACTACTACTACTACTACTACGACTACTACTCCTGCTACGGCCAATGATAAAACTACTCCTACTCGCACTGCTACTACTACTACGACTACGGCGACGACTACTGCTACTACTACTACTACTACTACTACGACAACTCCTACCACAACTACTACAACTACTACTACTACTACTACTACTACTACTACTACTACTACTACTACTACTTATTCTGCAGTGGCTACTACTACTACTACTACTACTACTACTACTACTACTACTACTACTACTACTACTACTACTACTACTACTATTACCACTACTACGACTACTGCTGCTACTACGATTACTACTACTACTGCGACTACGATTACTACCAGTATTACAACCACGCCAACGACTACTACTACTACTACTACTACTACTACTACTACTACTGCTACTACTACTACTACTACTACTACTACTACTACTACTACTACGGCTACTACTATACTATACTAACGACTACGACTACTACTCACTACTACTACTACTATGCTGCTACTACTACTACTACTACTACTACTACTACTACTTACTAACTACTACCCGTACGGACTTTCTACGGCAACAACGAGTTACTACTAAGGCGGCGACTACTACCATGCTGCACGATACTACTACTACTACTACATACTACTTACTACTACTACTATACGACTACTACTCCTCGGCTATACAACCACCACTGCTGCTAACT